TAGTCTTGCCTTGTTTTTTACAGTGGCCTCCTGCTCCTAAGTTGATGCACCATTAATCTTTAAGTTGTTTTAGATCATCAAGCTTTCTAAGTTCCTTCAATTGTTGTTTCTTCCAGAGTATTTGAGCACAGCAATTGCTTTCTGATCTGGTACGTACTCCCTCATGGATGTTTACAATGTTTTGATGAGGAGGATGTTGACTCACCCATCTAGTATCAGATGTTTGATAAATTTGAGTCTGCTGCTTTTCTTCCTCTTTCTCATCACTCTCCTCAGATAGAATTGGAAGATTGGGAGCTTCAATTCTGGTGTTGATCCTGTGTGATCGAAGCCTACTGCTGGCAGTTGTCTGCAGTTTGAGTCACCTGCTGCCAGTGGTCTGGTTTGCTTCCCTTCTTGTATCACATAGATGGTCCTTCCTTTGTCTATCATTACGTACAATTACATCCCTTTTTGACATCTCTAATCAAGCAGATGTCCTTTTAATCTGGAGTGGGCTTGTGCTTATTTGATTGAATTTTACAACCTTAACATAAGATATGTATTGGTTTGTAAGTTCTTTCTTTTGATCCAGCTCCTTTGATTTCTTCTTTTGTTCTCCTCATTTCCAAATGTTCCTTCAGGTCCTTCCTTTTCATTAAGATTGACAGTAGCTTCCTGCTTCCTGTCATGTGCTTGGAGCAGCCAGACTGTATCAACCATTTTGTTGAGTCAGTTGCTTCAGCACCTTCCTGTATTCATTGTTGAGTAGTAGTAGCCCACATTGAAATGGGCATCTTCCTTTGAACAATTTTAGGCTTCCATGCCCATCTAGAACTATCTTTCTTTAAGCAGTTTGATCCATAGCCCTTTGAGGAGTTGCACTCAAGAGGAGTGACTGTGTATGTGTTCATCTTCTTTCTCCTGTGTGTAGGAGAAGAATGATTTCTTGTGGGTTGATTTTGCTGCTTCTTTGGTTGGTAGTTGGTCTTATTGGTGAATTGCCAACTTGTTCTTTGGTTTTCTTGTTTGAAAGGAAGTTTGTGTTTGTACAGGGATTTTGGTTTAGGAGTAGACATGTTTCTTCTTGTGGGAACTGTGTGAACATGGGAGTGTTGGTGGCTTAGAAGCTTTGTGTTCTTCTTGAAGATGTTTTTGTGTTAGGAGAGTATTTGGGAAAGTTTTTCAATTGTTGGGGAAATGATGTGTATCCTGTATTCTTTTTGTTGTGCTGATCTTCCTTAGCAGAACGGAGAGAAAAGGAGCTCAGCTTTTCTCTCAAACTGATGTTTTCACGTTCAAGAAAATCTTTCCTTTTTATTACTTCACCCATTTGAGTATGAGCTACTATTAGATTTTCTTGAAGTCTACAGTTTTCATTCATTAAGTTAAGATGCTCCTTTTGGAAGTTTTCAAATTGATGGAGCAATGCCTCCATATCAACACTGGAAGAGTTGGAGTAATATGAGTTGCTAGAAGAACAGGATAATACCTCATCATTGTCACCTTCATGTGATCTGGTCATACCATAGTTGTGAGAGGAGCTATTTTCTGGGAACATTCCAAATAGGCAAGTAATAGCATCCTTCTGCCTTTCTGATGAGCAGCTTTCTTCATTTGAGCTGCTTTGATCATCTTCTGATTGGATCTCTGTGAGTTCATCCCATACATCCTTTGTTTTCCAGTCATCAGACTTGTTGCTGTTGATCAACAAATTCTTTGCTAGTTGTTTATCCATCTTTTAGAAAGTTTTGGGAGTGAAGTGGATTTGGATCTTTAGTTCAAATTAGTCAGAAACTGACTCTAGGAACATACCGTTCTGATACCACTTGATGGTCCCTGATAGAGGTAAAAGTCTAGAGGGGGGTGAATAGACTTTTAAAGCTTTTTCGGTTTTAAGAACTCTTCCCCTCTAGATGAGTTGATCTATAATCTTTTGGGAGATTAATAGATGCAAAGCGGAAGTCTTTAACCTTTTGATTATCAGTATGAAACAACTTTCTAGTTCTGGTGATGTTTGGACTTTAAATAGTGAGCAGTTGGCTTGGCAGTTGCCTGGATGGCAGGGAACTGCTGAGGCAACTGCTAATGGAAAATAGGAGTTTGGGATTGATGATTATATGGCCTTGTACAGAATGATGAGGGCTTACTGAATATATGCTGAGCTGGAGATGAAAAGGGGTTTTGTCTGAGCAGAGGTCTGAGCAGTTGGGTAGACTCAGGAAACTGCTAGTCACCTGCCGAGTATGAAAGAAGTATTTCTGAGAACTGGCAAACCAGACCTTTTAGTAGTGGTATTCCAAAGCTCGTGTGAAACAGTTGTCTCAAGGAAAAGTAAGTTATTAAGGAGTAGGATAAGCAGTAGAGTCAATTAAGACTACTGCTCAGGATGCTGCTGGCAAACTACAATCCCTCTAGTGAGAAGTGTTGGGTGTGTGCTTTGTTGAGTAAAAGAAAATCAACACACGATATATCCTGGTTCAGAGGTGGTGTAATCCTCCTACATCCAGTCCCACCCTATTTCAGATGGATTTCCACTAAAGTATTAAGCCCAATACACTTAGTGCCAATCTAGCCTTTACAACACTCAGGCCTAGATTGAAGGTTTTTCACGATGAGTATAACACCACTCAAAGTTACTCAGTCCTTAGACTTTTCTCAAATGATCCAGTGGGGATCAAGAGGTACTCTATCTATCTAACCACACTTTAGGATCCGAACAACTGTTCTCCTAAGTGTTTACAACCACTTGTGAAATGTTTCACGAAATTTCTGGCCACCAACTAAAATCTAAGCTCTAAAAATATAACAATGTATGATCTAGTCTAAGAGCTTAGTGAAGCATGAGTCAAAGCAAAGAGTGAAGTTGTGATCAAGCACTTTCTCCTTTGCTAGATATACTTTGTGATTATAGAATCTCTTTGCTTTGAACTCAATGACTTAGTTTTTGAACTCATGCCTCTGCCTTTATTTATAGGCATCTCCGGTAGGTTAAGTTCATCCGTTGGTTGAGATGATTTAATCTTGTTCGTTGAATCTTGGTTTCAGAAGATAACAACTTGTTACTTGTCTTCTTCTTTGGAGCTGGTTGATGATCAACTTGTACGTAGGATATGTTGGCCCATACCCTAGGTTTTGTCTTCGTTGTTCACCTAGTCATTAGGTCTTTGGCATTGTCTTGCAACTACACTCGTGTAATAAAGTGTGTGAACCAGCTATATTTGTGTAGTAAAATATGTGACTCATGTTATTTTGTACCAAGCAAATTTTGTACTGGTAGGATCTTTAAAATATCCCATAAAGGTAAAATGAAAATTACCTTATTGCATTTTGTTCTTTCCAGTACAACTTAATTGGTACAAAATATTACATTATTAATTTGTCACATATTTTACTAGTTGATCTTTTGACGTGACATGATTAATCTATGTATCAGATAAAATTATACTGGTTGGATTTAAATATCCATGTAAGGTAAAGACAATTTTACCTTATTGCATTTTATTCTTTCCAGTATGTTTTATTTGGTACATAGCTTTTACATTGGTGTTTTTGTCACTTTTAGGTTTGTACAACTAGCTAACTTAACTGGTAGGATAACAGATCCTATTAAGGTAAAAATTATTACCTTATTGCATTTTGTATTCCAATTTAAGTAATTAGTTGTACGAATTATTTTTGTGTTCATTTGTGTTCATTTGTTGTAACAAATAAATTTAACTGGTAGGATCTATAAGAAATCCTTTTAAGGTAATAAAATATTGCCTTATTGCATTTTATGTTTTCCAGTTATATTTATTTGTTAATTGTTAATTTGAACACGACACTTTCAGATAATATTATGAAGACTACAAAAGATGGGGGATAACAAAACTATGGCATTATCAAAACTATTTATCAAAATCTAGGGTCTAACACTGAGGATTTGGTCACTGCAAGAAAGTAAGACCTCTTTTGAGCTTCCGGTAATTCATAGTGTAATCAATTAATTGGCCTGACTCGTTCATTGGCATAAAATATGTTTTTTATATCATTTGTCATAAAATATGTTATTAACGTGTAATTAATAATATTCCATTAGTGTCTAACAGAATAAGTGCCCAATATACTTATAATTCTTAAAAGTAAAAAAAGAATATGAAGTACTTAGTCTACAAAAAATAAAAATAAAAAATAAATCAGAAATAATAATATTTTATCTTAATAATCATACGTGTGAATATGAAAGGCAGAACTAGAAAAGAATTACTTCATATTTATATTTGTTACCTAAATTCTCTTTTGCTTTCACAAATCTTTCTATGAAACTTTTCATGTTTCTGGAACCCGGTTCTCAATTTTATTTTATAACTTAATTGCATTTCAAGCATTTATATCTTGTAGAAAAGATTTTTTGAGTTCTAAGACTCGTACTCATAAGTATTAAAGTTAAAGGATATGTATGTATTACCCTGAATTTCAAAAACATTACCGAGTTGGATCCAAGCAGGTCGGTGTATAATTTGGTTTGATAATTTATAAAACTCTAATTCATACTTCATTTATAAAACATTGCCGAGTTGGTACATGTCTTATCCACTAAAATTCGAAACCAAGATTCTATTTACTCCTAATATGCACTCTTTACTCAAAATACGCTATATCTACACAAAATAGACCAAGTGTTTGATTTAATCATATTCTGAGTCTTAAAACTCAAATTATATCTAAACGAGATATAAAACGCTTGGACAGAAGACTCTTCACTACACTATGTATAATTTTTTTATAAGATAACCACGTCTCAGTAGCTTGCATCTTGTGTTAAGACCAATTGCTGCTCATAATAGACTTTTTCATAATTCTAAAAAGTTATGAGTTATGACTAACACTAGACATCTACCTCTATATAAAAAGAGGTGGAATTCAGACCACTTTTCCCGCCCAAACTACTAGCAAATACATGGGTCGGGTCGGGTTCAAAAGAAAAGCTGAAAATTGCTGCCTGAAGCGATATTTAATGCACTGCACAATGGATGGGACTGAATTGTACTTTATTTGAAATTTGAAAAAGGTAGCAAGTTAGAGTTAATGCCTGCCAAACGAATTGTCCTTTTACATAGTATACAACTAGCGTGAATAGATGGCAATTCAATTTAAGTGATTCTGCAGTAAAACTTTTTGGAGCTAAATACTATTAAAGCATACGGAGTATGAATGGTTTATTTGTCTCAGTGTACTGTCTATTCAGACTTCATGTCACAAAAAATTGGACATTGCATACTATTAACCACTGGGTAATTTGTGTACATAATAAGATCTATGTACTGATTGAAGCATAAATACAGCAGAATGTTAACATCACACAAAGCATTTGCATTGAGAGAGAGGGTTGTAGGAGCCAGTGAAGTTCCTTCGCATTCCAAAGGCGGGGAGGACTGCAAAAAAAACCATGAAGAGGTATATCATGTCCCTGTTACAACTCTTTTAATTAATAAGATGCAAGTATTTCATGTCTGCATTTTTGTGTTCGTATGAGGGCGAGGCTAAAATTCACTAAAACTTGACAAGGAGGACATATATATCCATCAACGGTAATCAATGACAACCTACTTATTGGTGAGCCTCAATATTTATGATCAGTTCTTATTACAAGTCATTTTTTAATTTTATATTGCATATTTTGTATGTTCTCTTGCACGATTGATAGTAAAACGTATAGAGCAAGGTGTAAAGGAAAAGCTCAAAATAAAATAGGTAGATCAGATTCCTTTCTACGTGAACTCTCTCTTTGAAAAAAGCGGGGTATTAATGCTATAGGTTTAATATATAAGCTTCTTTTAAATTCCCTATATGGAAGATTTGGCATAAGCCCTATGAGTACAATAACTGAGATGTGTGATCAAAAGAGACGTGACTTTTGTTCAGGAAGGGTACATTTCTAAATGGAATGTCATATTGTTTAGAAGCACAATATCAGTCTATGTAAAAGACATTATTTTATGGTGAAGTTATGTTATGATATTCAATGTTATGGCCCTAATTTAAATGTTATTTTAAATTCAACATTTTGGTGAAGTTATTAAGACTACAAACAAACATACTTAAGATACCAAATGTGTTAGTCATATTTAAGTTAGTACCTAGCAACTTTTCTATGTTATCAAACTATGTTTGTTAGGAAACAAACTGCAGTTCATAGTGTTTCAACGTGAGTAGTTAGTTTTAATCAAATAATTAGAAGTCAGTAAGCAATAAGCACTAAGCAACATGTTAATAGCAAGTGTTTCAACATGTTATCAAACTATGTTTTAAACTAAGGAATCTGGCGTTCCTTAGAGGTTAGGGGTTAAATAATCAATAAGCACCATGCTAATGTACTTTAAGTTAGTTTAAATATGAGATGCCAATAAGCAATAAATAATGTATGCCCAATTATTTTGACTATCAAGTTATGAGTTGAATATTGTATTTTGACTATGAAGTATACAAAGTTTGTGTCACAGGCCTCCTTCAATTGATTTGGTGGCAAATAAAGTTGGGCAACAACCCAATTAGTCTCAACTAAACATTCCTCCATATGTGTCAATTAAAAAGCTTATATTTTATATATATGCCCATAAAGTTAAATTAAAATAGCTATAAATGATAAATAACATTTCAATATTTATTAAAATAGATATATATATATATTAAATTATTATACTTACATTATTTTTAAAATACTTATACTTATAAAGTATTTTTGTAAAAGTTATGCTCTGATATACTACATATTGAATATCAGTTCAATAATTATTAAAGTTTATAACAGTTCATTTAGAATAGTATCAATGATAACATTAAAGTTATGACAAAAAGTGTACATATTTTCAAACATTTAACAAAAACGCCGCATTGAAGTAGTTTGATAAAACAAAAAAGATAAATTGAGTAAATATAATACAAACTCATATTAATTCAGGTTTTTCACTTCACAAGATAGTGACTGTTTCATTTTTGTTTGTGTGTGATTTATGTGTGTATGAGGAGTCATATATAATGCTCCGTATATATAACATATATAGTTTGATTACATATGTATATCTATGTAAATATGTTCTAAAGCTTATGTATACAGTTAAATTAAAATAGCAATATATTAAATAACAGTTCACTCGGTCAAAGATTTGAAAGTATATTTAAAATAGTTATACGTACACATATTAAATATAATTTCAATAGTTATAAAAGCTTATAGCAATTGAAGTTTAATAGAATGAATACGGGTTCATTATAAAAATGATTTATATACTTCAAATAATGTGTAGAAAAGATAACTGAAAGCTAACAATTATATTCCAAGTAGACTCATAAAAACTTGAGGTGTTTATGTTTGGCCGATTTCAGATTAGCAATGAGAAGCAGAATGCTATGAAGCTAGATGAGAGGGAATAGGGATATTGCCAACATCACAGTTGTAGTGAATGGTGGCAACATAATCTATTTTGATAAGATGGCGTATGGCCCTTTCTGTGTAAAAGTCCACTCTGAAATTGAAGCGTTTTGTTTTATTAATCTACCTGCCATGTCTTTTTAAATTGCTGAAAACATGTACACTTTCTGACTTTGTGTCATAGATTCGTTGTTGGTATAGAGTAAGATACTCCCTAACTTTAAAATCTTATCATTTCAAAAGTTGGTAGATTAAGAATAGTGAAAGATGATATGAATTATTGAGGGTATGATGAGAAAATAGTGGAATAATGTGATGGAAGGTAGGATAAATCCAAAAAAGTAGTTGTAATAGTGTATTATTTTAAGAATTATTGAGGGTACGATAGGAAAATTTAGAAATGAGAAGATTTTTATGTTACAGATGAAAAAGGAAAGTGGGAAGATTTTTAAGTTACGGAGGAAAGTGGGAAGATTTTTATGAGAAAGGATTATTGCAAGTCTCATTTTCAACAGATTTCAAAACAGAGTCACATGTGATTCAAGTTTGGTTGACTGATACTACTAATATTGTATTTATCAAAGCCTTTCATTTTATATACCGAGTATATAAAAAATAAAAAAAAAAATCATCCATAACTCATAAGTTGACAGGTCGTACAACAGAATTAGAGATCTTGACATAATTCTTTTGCTTATTTTTTAAAATCATTAGTATTAGAAGCATGTATTTATAAGAATTAGGAAAAAATCAAGTACAAATAAATTACACAGAGAAGTTCAAAAATGTAGCGATATACCGAAAACACAGTCGAAAACATGTAGGCCCGTAATAGGTGTCAACCGGCGATTCTCCAGGTGTCCGAGTCATCCACGAAGACTACGCAGAGAGCCTCTTTGGTGCAGGAGGAGGGGCAAAGGTATGGTGGATGATGAAGGCGGAAGCATCGGTGAATACATCGGTGAAGGCGCAAGGAGAATGGGCTTGGGGCAGGTTATTAGGAGTATCTATACCTAGGGTTTTTTAATGGGTAGGATGGATTGGGTTAGTCTTTAACTTAAAAAGCTGGCTTAGATCCATATTTGGGCTAGATTGGGTCCAGAATTTATTGGCTTGCATTCATTTAACTGAAATTCTTTATACATTTAGAGCCCATTTGGTAACCATGTTTTTTGGCGTGTCAGGCTTATCGGTCAACTTTTTTACCAAACACGTAACTTTTGATTTCGCGTGCTGGATTGTGTAATAATAAGAAAATGTAAGGTTGAAATTACTTTTTTGGCTGTATTGGCTGAAATTACTGTAGAGGAACATTTTAGCTGCCATTTTTCTTATATTTTTTCTTTATTGTATTAATTAAAATATTTTAAATATAATATTTTCATAAATCCGCAAAATCAGCCAATACAGTCACTTCATTCGGAACTTCATAAATTTCAGTAGAATCAGCCGATTCAGCCAATCTCAGTGTTACCAAACGGGCTCTTAAATTATATACACATTAAAAATGTGGTGGTTGCATTAAAATTTGCTAAAAACTTTTTCTTTGTAGAATGGGGTGTTTATGTGATTTTATTTTCGTCCTGGTAAAACGTTCTCATTGCGAAATGACACAATTATTTAAACAATAATTAAATATGCTCATTTGAGTATATTTTGAAAAAATAGTTTTGATGAGTCTATAATATAATGAGGTATTGATGATAATTACGGAGTATGATGTTATCAATGTACGTAGTATTATTTTTAATGCTTGATAATTAAATTGTTATTTAGGAGTGTTAATTATTTTCAAAAATAGATAATGAGAACCTTTAATTGAGACGTTTATAAAAGGAAAGTGAGAACTTTTAAATGAGACGTGGGAGTACATGGTTAGAATATTTTTTTTGTCAATTTTCATCCAACAATTCATAATAGTTCAAAAAAAAATTGAATGAAAATTGAGCGTGTTAGGTAGATTATTCGGAGATTCTTTGATTATCCCTCAACCATCGTAATTGTACCAAACATCCATTAAGGCACCGTTCAACACAACAATATAGCATTCTCGACAAATTAAACATCAATATATTTGGGATAGGGGCCACTAATCGACGCTCAAAAAGAATTTTAAGTACGTCTACAAATCATTAAAGGATTAGATGAAATTGAATGATGGTCTGCCCATAGATTTATACAAATATGGGCAATCCAAAATGATAATTATTATCTTTATCATCACTATTATTGTTCATATTATTATTGTTGTTGTTGTTATTTTACATTATTATTATTACCATTATACTTTTATTATTGTATTTTTCTTATAATTATCACTCCGTAAATTTTTATCAATCTTTTATATTATTGTTCTTAATCAATGATATACTTTAAACAATTTGAATATATTTTGTCCCGTGCATCGCACGGGTGAGAATCTAGTTGCAAATAAAAGGGAAACTAACACCTTAGCTTTATTAGTACTACTAGTTTTCTACACGCGCGATGCGCGAATGTATAACATGCCCAATGATTTTGATTTTGAAAATGTGCACATTAACACCATGACAAACATCTAGTAAGTAAATCCCCTAAGTATTTATATAGATGATTCACATTCGATCTAATATAAGACCTTGACATGATAATTTACGAGATAGGAATGAAAGGTACCGTAAATAAATATCGAGGAAAATATAAGATTCACTGATATACAAAGTAAATATTTTTATAATGCGTAAATTATCCGCATATAACTTTAAATAATGCAAATTATCTTCAATGAACCAAGCAAATAATACCTACTTTGGATATAATTTTACAAATGGCTCAATGAAGATGATAATGAAAGATATGCATTGTCTGAACTCGGTTTATGTAACCGAGTTGGGCATAATCACATGCAAATTTAGTTGGGCATAATCATTTTTCATTTGCTCATTATTCTCTCAAAATTCAGTTGACTAATCATGTACATTAATATGAAAGTATTAAATAAGTGGCCCTATTGACAAATATCATTTATTTGATGTTTTGATATGGGTAAAGCACTCATGCTTATGAAGAAAATTGGAGCATACTAAGATAGAAGCGACTATAGGCCGGCCAAGTATTTCATGGTCTAATTGCATCATTGTTGATTTTCCAAAGAGGTGATCGCAGGTTTGAGTCTCATCCTTATCAAGGATGTTGACATTATCATGAGTGTATACTAAAATAGATTTAAAAAGATATCCCACCGCAAAAAAAAAATTATAGAACGATGAAAATGTAGTGGCAAATGATAAAAGTAAGAAGTATACCCTTCCTTTTCTATATAAGGAGTAATTTTTTCTCAAATCTATTAATAAAATACTCCCTCTGTCCCATTTAAAGTTTCTCACTTTTCTTTTTTAGGAAACAATTTAAATGATAATTTAATCATCAACTCATTGTATTACATACTCATTACAATTATTTCTCAAAATATACTCAAATTAGCACATTTAATTATTGTCTTAATAATCGTGTCATTTTGTCAGGAGAACTTTTAAATGGGACGAAGAGAGTATTTTATACATAGTATGTTTTTTCTACAATTCAACATTTTCACATAATTCAACCGCTTCAGTTATCATTTCATCAATTTTGTATACTCAGCTAATTAAGCCAATGCAACTTTCAAGTGGTATCGAACGGGGTCTAAGTTTATTAAAAAATCGTCTTGACAGTTCTACTATTTATATTTTTTGCTTGAGAAAGAAAGGAAAAAAGACATACGTACTCATAAATCTAATAGCTTATTACATAGTAATATAGTATACATAGTAATGATAGTATTTGTTAAAGCATAAAAGAAAAAGAAAAAACTAATTAAGAAATACGAAGTACTCCTTGTTAAGCGTTGGGAGCAAAAATAGAGGTAGTAGCAGTCTAGCAAAAATAGAGGTAGTAATTGACGATTTCAACTAACGGAGTTTGATGTTCCTTCCGGTATTAAAGTGTTTGAGAAACTAAGGTACAATAATTTTAGCTCAAAATACAAGTTTACATTAGCTTATGATTACTACCAACACATTTTTCATACCCAAACTGCCCTTACCTTCATTCACGTTTATAAGATTGTACTAGTTTTTTTATACGTGCGTTGCACGTTTGAGTAAATGCCCAATAGTATATGAATGAAATTGAAACTTCATGCAAAAAGAGAAAAAGTGAAATAAAGTTTGAATGAAATGAGAAGATACAGAACAAACATTTATCATAGTACAACCATCAATACATAATGAAGTCATATTACATGTAAAGCAAAACTTAAAACTATAGTCTAAGATTAAAAAATGGCCTCATTTCGATTTGACGGGCCTTTATCATATTTAACCGCTTTCGGAACAAAATACTTACTTGATTCAGAACAAAAGTAAAATAATAATTAACATTTAGCAACCGGATTATAAATTAACTAAAGTGAAGTATGGAAATAGAGATGATATAAATACTATCTACTTGACATACGTGGGCCGTTGTCCAAACTCAATAGTCGTGAAACAAGGTGCCCGAGTTCATAAACTCTATCATATATGATCTTCAAAGAAAACAATTTGTGTTGGATAATAGAGCAGTATAAAACTTGTTTTGTTAATTTTTCTTTTTAATTTTAGTAGAAAGTCATTTTCCCATTAGCTACATGTTTTTATGTGTAGAAAAAAAAATGACAGGATCTTATGGTCTAAATCTATCCGATGTGTCCAGATCTGAAAATTTTCATCTAATATGATCATACCTAAATATTTTTTATTTAATCTGATTATACTCCCTCAGTCCCAATTTGTAAGGTACATTTCGCATTCACTTGGTTAACATAAATCATTTTTAATCTTTTACTTTATATATCCAGATTTTATGAAATTTGAATTATTTTTTGCAGGCTTTGTAGCGGTTTTAATGTAGTATCTAAATATGTAAATTTTATTTTTAAAAACTAATTTGAGTGTTAACAGGAATCAATCAATTTGCTTTATCGTCGGTCAAACATCATAAATAGTAAACTATATTACAAATTTGGACGGAGGGAGTATAAAATAAGAATAAACAATAACTAATAAGAATAAGATGAGATAACAACTCCCAACAAAGAGATGTAGCCAAATTGTTGCGACCACAAGAGCTTAATAACAAAGGGGTCGTAGTTTCGAAGTAATCATTTTCACAACCCGTGTGAAATTTTTGCTGAACATCAGTCATTTCAATTCAAAAAGAAGAAGATAAAAAACTATGGGAAAGGGGGCAAATAAGCCCTCGAACTAATCCAAAAAGTGCAAATCACCCCTTTATAGGAGACTCTGTTCGACCGTCGTCATTTGGGGAGGTTCCCGGTGGAATTTTTGAATGAAATTTTTTGAGCATATTCTTCATTAAGTCTAGTTTACCCATACCAAATTTCAGATAAACATTCAACCAGGAAGGCAGTTAAATGAATTTTTGAAGATAACTATGCAGTTAAATAGCGCATTATATTTCAGAAAATCATTTGAATGGCTTCCCAATTTTATTTTTAGCTGAAATTTGTATGGGTAAACTAGACTTAATGAAAAAGATGGTCAAAAAAATTCATCAAAAAATTCCACCCGGAACCGCCTCAAATGACGACGGCCTTACAGAACCTCCTATATAGGGGTGATTTGCACTTTTTTAGTTAGTTCGAGGGCTTATTTGCCCCTTTTCTCAAAAACTATCTTATACTTCGTACTACATACATAACATATAAAGAAAAGAAACGTACAGAAAATAAATTAAATGCAAAAGCAAATGAAACATAAAATAGAAATCAATTCTACTAACATATACTCGTACCATTTACAGTACTATGTAGCAAATGGTTAAAATGCAAAAACAAATGAAAAACAAAATAAAACATAAATGGAATCTTAACAGTTGGATTAACGGACCGTTGAAAAAAAGGTTGGATTAACGGAGGCAAGAGGCTTAATTATGGACAATGACTAACCGTACAATGATTAAACCAAATTGTACAAGTGCATCATGCTTAAGTGTTACACAAACATTTTTATCATTCCAAAAATGCTCTAACCATCATTGATGCTTATAAGTTTTTAGATGTATAGATACTATATGTAAGTATATGTTATCTACATACACACGGGAGTCCATGTTTCACTTAAAACTTCAAGTGGTCTCTTCCATTTTGTGTCACTCTTTGATAAGTTGAACGATTGAACGAAACATTTGGTGAATAATTAATTTTGTATTATGAGATTATCAGTCTAAATAATTAACATCATTACTCCTATTTCATTTGGTGTACTAATAATTTTTCTTTCTTATTAATAGGTTCCAACGTACAAGTATAAAGTATAAGGCTCTTTTTCAGTTTCATGATTTGTGTCCATCGATCTTAAGAGGTTTTTGGATCTTGGATATCAAAGCTAAGATTTTAAATTTGGATTTTATTTCCTTTTTGCGTTAATGATGAATTTAATTTGAAATTCAAAGATACAACTTCATTAGGCTACTTTTATGTATAAGATAAATTTTAAAGTTACTTTTGTATGTACGAATATATTTAGAGTCCGATTGGTAAAAGTGAAATCGGCTGAATCAGCTAATCCTGCTGAAATTTATGAAGTTCTGACTTAAGTGACTGTATTGGCTGATTCTGCTGATTTATGAAAAAATTAAATTTAAAATATATTTTAATAATAAAATTAAGAAAAAAATATATGTAAAAATAGCTAAAATGATCCTCTACATTAACTTCAACCGAAACAGCCAGAAAAGTAATTCCAACCTTATTTTTATTATTATTATTACACATTTCAGCACGTGAAATCAAAATTTACGTGTTTGGTTAAAATGTTGGCTGATAAGTCTGATACCGAATAACAGTGTTACCAAACGGGCTCTTAATTACCAAACAGGAGTGTTTGCAATTGCTTCAACTTTAAAAAAGTGATTTTTTAAAGTGATTTGGGGAAAAATGATTAATAGTAAAAGTTGGTAGTGTTTGAGGAAAATGTGATTCTGAAAAAGTAAAAGTTGGTAGTGTTTAGTAAAATAAGTACTTTTTGTGTAATAGAAAAAGTGAAAAACACCCTTCCACCTGCTTCCAGCTTTTAGTTTTTTAAGTGATTAATTAATTAAAGTCAAAAGCTGAAAAGTGTTTTTTAATCAAACTGCAAACACTCCTTTAATTCAATGAGTTTTGTGTTAGTAACTCCGTCCCGCCTCCTCTGCAACCCGTGCAGCCGGCGGTATACGAACTCTATGCGGAGATTCCTCTGTTCCGTCTCTTGGAGACTTCTTCATCGAAGCCTTCAAAACAAAAAGCAGTCCCGTCCTTCTCCTTTCCTCTAGTGCAGAGAGAATTCCATCCAGCTCTGAGGGACGAATGGATTGTCAGTTGCACCAATCCGAAGTTATTATAGTCTGAAGGGGCGATCCATAGAGTACGGTCTCTGTAAATCCTATCGCTGGCTGTAATCGCAGCGACGAGAGGCAATTCTCTCCAGTCCCCATTTCTCCTTCCAGGCAAGTTCAAATATCTTTCGTCTAAGTCCTAATTCACCTATTTTTTTTCCGTGTAAAAGTGTAATTTCAGTTATTCAATATGTAATTTCTTTCCCTCTGCAGACTTCCTGCCTCCTGAGTTCTGACCGACGCCCACCATCCTCGTCGACCGCCAACGCGTCTGACCACCCGCAGACTCACTCACTCACACGCTAATTGAGACCCTGCAATTTTCTTTCTTCAGCAACCATTTTTTGTCTCAATTCTCAAGGTAAGTTCAATTGCTAAACACTTTCTTTTGTAGTCTGTGTTTCAGGGTTTGGTCATTTGGTTGTGATGTGCTACTATGAATGGATTTGTTCTTTTTATTCAAGGTAATTTGAGTACTTGAACATAGTGATTTGCTTACTATGAAATACTCCATATAAATCATTTGGCAATTACAAATATAAATTATCAATTGAATTTATAGAAACAAGGTGGGGCTTTCATTAATTGTGTACAAATGGCTATCAAATAAAACTTTGAATCACAGTTGAGTGCGGCTTTCAATCACTATATCATTTAAATATGAGATTGTTGAGAAATAAATACTTAGAACAATATGTTGAACCAATATTCTTTAATGAACTTGTGAAATACATTTTCTTGTTCAGTTATGGAAACATCAGATCTCGCAAATAATTTATTTCAACAATATGTTTATTACTTAATATTCTTAAATGAACTTATGAAATACATTTTCTTGTTTAATGATTCCTTGGTTCCATATGTCGAAAAAGAGATGTTAGATCGTATTCCAAATGAGGCAATCTTACAACAATTTCAAAATATCATAGAGCGTAGAGGAGTACTTTCTAGGTAATTGTCTACAATACTGTAACTTAATTTTAACATTTTGTTGCTAAAAACAGTACCATATATGATATTATTTATGTTTTGGTAAAAAAAGAGTTTGTATAATTGCATATAATCTCGCCCCCTTGATAAAATCTGGATATGCCACTGCACATCCATCCAGGCATTCCATATTCTACCTTCCATTATCACTCTTAGCTGCTTCAACCTCCAACCTTAGCATTATTCTCAAGTAAAATATGTCTTTTTAATTATGTAGACGTGAAACACAATTAGTAAATGTTCATATTATTAAAGAACCTTAGATGGTCAAAGTTTGAAATTGAACAACAACAACATTACCCCAACACCGCAAAGGCACCCACCTACAGTGGGGTAAGGGGGGTCGAATGTACGCAACCTTACCCATGTACTTTAGCACATAGAGACTGTTTCTGAACGTCCCATGCTGAAAATCGTATCGAAAATTTTATTGACCGACTGATGCTTTATAAAAAAGAAGTGCACACAGTTTAGTGAGCCATTTTGCTTTATTCCATCATATTCCCAAGCCAAAAAATAGCGCGTCTTTGGCTCCATTGGAAATGATGGGAAAAAGTTTGAAATTGAACCTCGCAAATAAAATCAAAATTGAAGATGTGCATTGAAGGTCTTATTTTCAAGTTTCAGGCAAGCATTTGCTTTGTTACATTTTTTCTCTTCAATTTTGAGATTTATACATTTATTTCTCAATAGACTGATTTGGCTGTATATGCACACACAAATTGCTATTAGGCGTAGTTTTTTCCTGTTATTTTCATTGCTTAAGCCAAGGAAAATATTATGAGGAGATGGTGGATTGCTAGTGGGGGGATTTGAAATAAGTGAGTCTTTTTAGTTCAATTTATAGAGCGAGAAACAACCTCTTGTTACTCCTCGGCCCCTCCATGTTTTTGGATGGGGTAAAATTCAAAAGGCTTTGAATGTTGTGACAAGGAACCACTAAATAGCTACCATCATTGCTATTGTTAGTCTACCAGAGTATTCTGCAAACTCACATTGTACATTTTAATGCAAACAACAAAAGGGTGAAAAGTTTTCACTGAAAACTAAAACAAAGCACTACCTCCATCCCTAATTTATCTCCACATTTGAGTTTGCATGCCTGGATGGTTTTTAATAGTGTAAAATGTGTGCCTTGTGTGGTTGTATTTGGTTTAGACGAAAGAGTAACAAAGTCAACCACAAAATCATTTCCTTAAAAGGAAAGAGGAGATCATGGGATAAATAGAAAAGGAAAGAATAAAAACAAAAAGAGGACAGAGGGGTATATAAAGTATAGGAAAAAAACCTGGAGACCCTCCAGGCAAGGAACCACCTGCCTTTTCCCCTAGAGAGTCTACTTTTATATTTGTTAGTTCATTACTAGAGGGTAACTTTTGTCTTTGTGACTTTTCTTTAATCAGTTTTGCGGGCAAATTGGCAAAGCAAACTACATTATTATTACATTAAGAATTTAAGACGATTAATCAAACAGGGAGACAAATGGTATTCAGGAGGTTTCACTTGAGTAGTCTATTGGCAGTGGAAACTTGAGGATGGCTGTTATGGATAAGGACTATGAGGATGCTATTTGCAGGCGTACCAGAGCAAGGTATTCACTTGCTGGATTTTCTCTTGATGAACTAGAGACATTCCTTCAGGAAACTGATGACGAGGATGATATTCAGAATGTTGATGATGAAGAAGAGTACAGAAAGTTTCTAGCAGCAGTTTTACAGGGGGTAGAGGGAAGCTCAATCAAACCGCAAGAAAATGAAAATGTGGAAGATGAGGATGAAGACAATGATGCTGATTTTGAGCTTGAAATAGAAGAGGCATTGGAGAGTGACCTTGATGAAAATCTGAAGGGTGATAATGTAGAGTGTGAAGCTATTGAACAGCGGCCCAAAACTAGGCTAAGTAGGCGCCGAAAATCTTCTAACAAACATAAGAAGAAGGTTTCAGAAGCATTAAGTAGGCCATTACGCCCAATCTTGCCATATTCACCGATTCCTTCATGCGCTCCTATTGCTGGGAGAGGCTTGGTTCATAGTCCAATACCACCACTCGGTCTCCGTTCACCCACTCATGAACTTATTATAAATGGATTTACTCCATATCAGATAGGACAGCTTCACTCGTTGATACATGAGCATGTTCAACTTCTAATTCAGACATTTTCTATCTGTGTTCTTGACCCTGTAAGACAACACATTGCTTCTGATGTTCAGAAATTGATCTCTGAATTACTGTGTAAGCGCAATGAAATGTTAGGACAAGTAAGGGCACCATACCCGCAATTGTGCTTCACACCTAATTATATTCATTCTTCAATAGCTTCTGAGGTTCCAGATACTTCTCCTTCAAGTGGACAGCTAGTACATAGCTCAATTGAACAGGATGGATGCTCACAAACTCCCCAGGGCTCCTCCTGGATGCCTTACGTTGGTGAAAAAACAATTTCTGTTCTTGATGTGGCTCCTCTCAAGTTGATAGGGAAATTTGTAGATGATGTTTTAAATGGTATGTCAAGTAGGAAAAACTGAATATTAATTTTCTTTTACCTCTTAAAGCTGAACGTGATATTGAATGCATACTCTTTATTGGCCATTGCTGACAGTTGTACAAGAGGGCAAGAGGAGATCACTAGGAGCCACTGATGAAGATAATGCTGAAAATGTTCCGCTCTTTCCTGCATGTAATAGGCAGCAATCTGCTGAAACAAATTGCCATGCTTTGTCATCTTCAACTGCATCAAAAAAGACATTGGCTGCTTCACTTGTAGAAAGGGCAAAAAAGCAATCAATCGCACTTGTTCCAAAGCAGATTGCTATGTTAGCCAAGCAGTTCTACCCGTTATTTAACCCGGTCCTGTATCCTCATAAGGCACCTCCTGCGGCTGTGGTGAATCGGGTACTCTTCACTGATGCAGAGGACAAGTGAGTTGTGCTGTGTTCAGTGTGTGTATATCGATATAATGATAATAAGATTATTGTTCACTTTTGTGCTATGGTGGTACTTGTTCTCTCCTGCCTTGCAAAGTGAAGGGAAAATATTAGGTGATCAATTTTGGCTAGTTAGAGTAGACACATCGCCAACCTTTTAATTTTATATGTACTCTCTGCCATAGCAATGTCCATATTTAAAAATTATTAGATACTATTTCCAATCTCAGACAACGTTAATATCTATATATGAAATCAGATATTGATGAAGCACTACCACTCATTACCTTTGGCTTTGAATATATGAAAGCTGTTTAATTTGTTTTTGGTTTTATAAAACTATGAAAGTTGAGCAACATATTCGCGTCTTGAGTCGGTCAATCTGATGCTTCACATAAATTTAATGGGTGTCGTTACTGACTCAACTATAACATGTCGGATGATAGGAATGTTAGTTTGTCTTAACAGTTTTCATTTCGTCTTGTAAAAAACTACTTAATGGTTTTCACTTTTATTTATTTATCTAATAAAGAAATAGTGGTTTCATTCTCACGCATCTGAAGTCTTACCATTTATGCTTTATGTACTGTAGATTACTGGCTTTGGGATTGATGGAGTACAATACTGACTGGAAGGCTATTCAACAACGGTTTCTTCCTTGCAAATCTAAGCATCAGGTGATTTTCATATTGACCTTGTATTGCTATGCTGTTACCTTTTTTCTTATCTTTCCTTTCTCTGTGTCATATACTTTAACATTTCAAAGTGCAGCTTTCATACTCCCTTTCATGCAGATTTTTGTCAGGCAGAAGAACCGTTCATCATCTAAGGCACCTGAAAATCCAATAAAGGTATTTGCACTGTCAGTGTATGTATAGATGTTTGGGATATGTTTCAATTTTTGCTGGACTGAATTACTTGGAATACGAACTTTTTGCTGGACTGAATTACTTGGAAAGTTAGAATATGCTATGTTTGAACTAGAAAAATACTTAAAGAATTACCATTGATTATGACATTATGAAGGCTGTCAGAAGAATGAAGAACTCCCCATTGACTGCAGAAGAGTTTGCTCGAATTGAGGAAGTATGTAAAGTAGTTTGTTAATCCGTAGTTCCATTGTTTTGCATACTTTCTGATCTTATATACGTACACCATTCAGGGTTTGAAAGTATTTAAACTTGACTGGATGTCAGTGTGGAAGTTTATCGTTCCGTATAGAGATCCTTCTTTGCTACCTCGGCAATGGCGTATTGCTGCTGGAACTCAAAAGTCATATCGATCAGATGCAATTACAAAGGAAAAAAGGCGTTTACATGACTCACAAAAAAGAAAGTGCCAGGCTGCAACCTTGGGAAGTTTGCACCCACCATCTCAAAAACTGGTATTTTCTCTTCTACGGTTGTAGACTTGTAGTGCTCTTGTTGAATCAACATTCCCTGCCTGATGACTGCACCTGTCATCATTTAATGGTGTAATCCTAACTATGTTTGGGACACTGAGTAATTGTCCAAAATTAGTTAAACCAACATTTCATACGCAAAAAGAGTGTCACAAGTTTACGCTAGACACTCTTCATGTCTCAACTGTCTTGCATAGTTACGCAAGTTCTGAGATGAAATTTCAAAACCATAATCATCAAATGGTTTTCCCACTTGAATAGAAAGTCTCGTGGAAAGGTGATAGTTGAGAAAGTTTTAACAATTACAAGATTACTAGATTGATAAATAAAATTACACAACCAATGATTGATTGTATAGTAGTACTAAAACTAGTAAAATCAGAAGTCAAGCCACTGAAATATTATTAGCACCTTCATTTAAATACTTAAGTCTGGTTGTGTAACGTGTACGCATGAATGTATGCTCGGGTTGGTTAACGATAGTCAATAATTGTTGTAGGATTTTTTGTCTCACAATATGTCATTTTATAAGACCAAGAGGTCCAAGACAATATATAACGTTATTTTCAATTTGACCTTCTCTATGAGTCCTATGAAAAATTAATATTCAAAGATTATTAAATGGTAGTAAGGGGCATTGTGAAGTTTTTCTCTGTTAACTCTTTAATTTTCCTAATGTGGACCAGAGGAAGTATTACAGCATTATGTGAGGCTAAATGAGTATTATATTGTTATCTCCTTTGATGATCCATTTCCAATATCTTAGAATGACTTGAGTTAATATGTTTGGGAAGGATGATGCTGCTGATAAAAATATTGAAGAGCAGAGCAATGCAGATGATGATTGTACAGACAAAGATGGTGAAGCATATGTTCATGAGGCTTTTTTAGCAGATACAAGTGCCGACATTCCAACCATCTGTGCAAAAGCTTCTTTTCCTGATGTAGTAGTTGGTGAAAGTTGTCCTTATCCGCAACAAGTGGTTGCTTCTGAAGTTGGAAGGGGGGCAAATGAAAATGGGTGTAGAGACCATCTACCCCAAATCATTAACAGGTTTCATGTTGCTTTAAAGTTCTCCTAGTACCTTAGTAATGTACGTATGAATGTAGGAAATGAAAAATGCCAGGGCGAGAAAGTAGGAAAGGAAAATAATTAAGATAATTGGAAGATAATGTTTTTTTTTTGGGAAAAATGAAAGGTAGATTCACGCTCAATACATGTATTTTAGATATTCATTCGAACTCATTTTATTTATTTAGTTCTACTATAGAGAGACATAAAAATTTAAATATATTTACTTTTGCTTAGCATTCTTTCAAGGTGAAGCGAAACGTAAGATAACAACGTTCCTTGTTATTTCCTTGGCATTTTCTGGGATTCGAACATTCCCTTATGGTGCCAAATATTTTAAACTCTCCATTTGAACCATTTTTCTCATCTGTGATCTCAGGCCATCTTCCACTGAGGTAGTGTATATGCGTCCATATCGAGCTAGAAAAAGTAGCACTGCCCGTCTAGTCAGATTAGCCCCAGAACTTCCTCCTGTTAATCTCCCCCCTACTGCTCGTGTCATGTCACGCTCTGACTCAAAAACCTACCAAAATGCTTTACCACATACAAAGGTTTCTGCTAGTGCTAAAGTTGCGAATGCTGCAATTGAAGTTGGGAGTAACACTGCCAATAATACTAGGACTCAGCTTCATGAGGATCCTGAAGCCATCAGGGAAAGACACGTGGCAGAAGAAAAGGATGGCCCTGATCTTCAGATGCATCCGCTACTCTTTCGGGCTGCCAAAGACTGTAGCTCACTGTATTGTCCAGTAAATTCTGGTCCTGATGCAAATAGTTCACCCCAGCTAAATCTAAGTTTTTGTCGCCAAACAAACAATTCTTTTAACTTTTTGAACAAGGCTTTGAAGCCTATTGGAAAAGTGTCTACATCATCTGGTCTTAGCTTTCATCCACTTTTACAAAGAACCACTGATGGAAATTCTGTTGTTCAACCCTCTGCTAGTTCAGACCTACCAAGGGAAAGGCTTACTCAACCTATTGCAAATCGTAATGAACAACCTGATCTTGAAATGCATTGGAGTCTTTCGTCAAAAAAACAGACCACTTTCGGAAGAAGCGTTACGAGATTGTCAAAAAGCAATTTCGAAACTGAAGTGAATTCTCGAAGTACTTTAAACAGAATCAGCAGTGGCCTTGATTCAAGTGCTCAACTGATAGGCACATCCTATGAGACTGATATGGTAGACAATGTTGATGACATATTGGGCCAAGGAATTGTGATGGAGCAGGAAGAGTTGAGCGACTCTGATGAGGAAGAAGAAAATGTGGAATTTGAATGTGAGGAGATGACAGATTCAGAGGGAGAGGAGGTGATACCTCAACCTATGCAGATCACTGGTGGACAAGCCAAGGTATCTTTTCATCGTTTATTCTACAGTTTTAGACCGTTCGGTATTGGACAATGCCTTTTAAGGGGGTTTGCCTTTATTTGTTTTAAAGCATGAAAAAATCACGTTTCTAATGTAAAAATAAGATATCTTTGTAATTGAATTGTATAATCTTGCTCTAAAAATTTCTCTCATTTCATATTGTAGTAGAGGCCCCTGCGGCATTTTGGCTTTAAGAGGTGCACAGAAGATTGCTAAGACTTCCACATCTTCCACCCCTTTCAAGACCATAACTTCTTGCATGGATACTTCCCTACCAAAATTTTTCCAGAACGATCTGTTTCAATTATAGATATACCAAACAATTCTTTTGAATAGGTTCTCAAAATAACGGTTGATGAGTAGATTTTGGCAGTCTTTTTGGAATTGGATAATTTGTTAAAAGGTTATAACTCGTACCCGTAATATTAAATGTGATTAACCTTTCCAGACGTTGTAGAATAAGCTTAACTTGAAAAGCTTCTGTTGGAGGCTTTTGATGTGCTGTAGTGTTACCTCATTTCAACTATTAATATTTTAACCAACCTTTAGTAGATTTTTTTAAGTACATAAGCTTTCAAGTTAAGCTGCCATACCTGATGTGTGATTTTTTAAATTCAATTTGTCTGTTAGTTACTGCACATTACTAATACATATTTTTGAATGTATTTTTTCTACTTCGTTTAATTTGCTTAACTGTTTTGTAGTACCTTTTACTTTTGGAAAAATAGCATTAAAATCTAAAAGAATTAGCTTCTTTTGCTGAAATAAGATGTTGTGTGGACAAAAATAATTTATGAAACAAGACTCATATATGAGTTTGAGGGAATACTTCTGTTCTCTCTTTAATACTCTTTTCGTTAGGAATCTATGCAAGCTTGTTCAAGTGAAAGCAATTTACTTTATGACCTACTAATTATATTGTGGTCCAAATTTTCATCAGGAGAGAGGTAGAGTCTCTAGTGATGAGGAAAACTCGGATGAAGATGCACCACCAGTTACACGTGGCATTTCAATAGCCAATTTCTGTAACCCCTCCAATGATACCGTTATGACTCAGCCAGGACCCAGTTCTTCCTCTCTTGATTTGAATTCATTTCCACCTGTTTCACGAAAAACACATCCCAAGGATGATACCACCAGACACAGTGTTGGTTCTGCTTGCAAAGTTCAAAAGCCCTCTGTTGGTTCCAGAAAACCTGGAGTGAATCTTAAAACAGAAAAGAAGCCTGCAGCAGGAAACAAGCGGAAAGAGTTGAATTCGGTTTCTTTTATATCCCCACCCAAACAACCAAGAAGACGTGCACGTAACACAGATTCTATATCTGAGGTTGGACATTCTAAAAAAGGAATAGGATCAGGCATAGAAAGCTCAAAGAAAGACAATGGAGTTGAAATTACTTGAATCTATACAAAACTCTCTTCAAGAGAAACCTCATTGAAAGCTCTTAGTAAAAGGATGTCTTCATCAGTTTATCCTCAGAATATAATGTCTATTTTTACAAGACACTTGAGGTTCTGGGCTGGTTCTAGACATTAGTTCCAGTGGGATGATTTCTGACAATTGTTCATAATTTATCTCTCAAATGAGAGAAAGAGAACATCCAAAAGGTTCATGTGAAGACAAAATTGTGTTTGGGGGCAGTGTGAACTGTGAACTCAGAGGGTATCTTGGAATTTTGAGCTAAAAGAAATCCAGCTGCATAAGCAAAGGTCTGGGTTGTTAATAAAAAGCAAAGCTCTGGCTTTACTGTGTGAATGCACTGCTTCGTGGTTTTGGTCCGGTCCTGTCCTGGATCCGTTCGCCCTGAGCGAAATTTTGTTGGACCCAAGATCAGAACTGGTAATTCCGGTTCCGTACTAGTTTTGGTCCCAGTTCATATTAATATTTTGGTTTTTTTTAGATAAAAAATGTGTATATTTATATTGTAAACATGTATGCATTATATTGGAATGAATCTATTTGTCAGAGTTAATTACATATGATGTATAATTTAAACAAATACTCCCTCCGTAACTTAAAAATCTTCCCACTTTCCTTTTTCGTCCGTAACACAAAAATCTTCCCGTTTCTAAATCTTCCCATCATACCCTCAATAATTCTTAAAATAATACACTATTACAACTACTTTTTTTGGATTTATCCTACATTCCACCACATTATTCCACTATTTTCCCATCATACCCTCAATAATTCATATCATCTTTCACTATTCTTAATCTACCTACTTTTGAAATGAGAAGATTTTAAAGATACGGAGGGAGTACTTCTTAAGTTAACTACTACCTCAGTCCCACTAAGATTGGGACAAGAGAAGGTGTCACGATTACTAAGAAAAGTGGATTTGTGTGGTTGATATTAAATTGATAAAGTAAGAATGATTTAGAGCCACACAAACTTTACCAAATTTGGTATATGACAATCTTAGTGAAATTTCTCGAAAAGGTAAAATGAAACAATCTTAACGAGACGGAGGAGAATTGTTATATAGTACTAGTATTATATATTATCTGAATTTCGGATTCAAAACGTAACAACCAACAAACATAATTTAAATAATAAATTGCATTTTAAAATACTGATAAGTAACAATCAAATGTACAAATATATTAAAAAAAGGAAGTCATTTGTTAGAAATTAGGGTTGGATTCAGGCCGGGTTGAGTCTGGGTCTGGGTCCGGGCCGGGCCTAGGCCCGGGCAGGCCGCCGGTTTTGTATAGTTGGGCCCGGGACCGGCCCGGGTAGCTACCGGGTCCGGGCCGGGCCTCTGGTTTGTTTTTTTCTTTTTTGCTTTCATAAGTATCCCTGACCCCCCCCCCCCCCTCACTCCCCCAAACCCCTCCTAAACATCAAACCCAACCCGAGTAGAACCCAAAAAAAATGGAAAAACACAAAAAAAAAAAATCAATTTGGCCCGAACCGGTTCCCAGGCCGGGTGGCCCGAACCAAGTCGAGGGCTATTAGAAATAACATATTGTTTTGAACAAAAAGACTCGCACTTCAAGGGATCACGTGTATAAATGTTTCCTTGAGAATAAGTATAGAAAGGAAAACAAATTAGTCTATGAGGTTGTTCAAGAGGTATATGCTTTTTGCTGTTAATCTCTGAAATATTTGCTGTTAAAGTTTACTATCGTATTATCTATGCAATAAATTATTCAAGCACAAAAAAACAATAAAACTATAAAAATTCTACACGTTTTAACCTTTAAAATGTAAAAGTACATAGCCCCCTATTCTCGGATATTTTTGTTGTGGTTCTTGAGTTGTGAACCTTTGGATTTACATACTACAACAATTTATTCATATTTGTATTTGGAAAATGTTCAGATCAACTAAATCAAAAGGATCAAAAGAAGAAAAATGTTAGATATGATTCCCGGGCCGGTCCTGGGCCTTCACCCCAAACATCAAAAGCCCGGCCGGGCCTAGGCCCGACCCAGACGCAACCCGGGCCCGACCCGGACCCATCACTAGATATGAACTGAGTGCAATTATATTTGTTCATTTACAACCCTATATAGCAGTCGAAGACTCGAAATTGGTGTGCAAGGAAGAAACAATTTGGCGATTTGCGAACTCCTAGACCCCAGTAAAAAATCCTTAATTATAAGAACATCTTCAATGCTCCTCTTTTAAAAGAGAGTAAATTTTGCCAAATGTCAATAGGATAGAGTAATGTCGTTCCATGTCATATACAAATCAAAAGAAAGACATAAATGATTCCCAATGCATAATTTTAATAACTTGAAATTAATCACACGTCTCTTGTTTATTGATAAATAAAAGTAGAACATATTCCGTAAAAACTGTAAAAGAAATTAGAGGAATAGAATGAAACAAAATATGATTGGTAAAGTAATTAAAAGAAAATAGTTGTAGACAAATCCTTCTACTGGTCAATAATAATGCATAAAACGGGAAAGAATAATTGGTCAAAAAAATGCCAAAGTAAAATTTACATAATAGAAAATCTAAATTCTAATATTAAAAAAATCTAATTTTAGATTATATGTATGTATATTATGTATATATATTTATGTATGCATTACGTGTATTCTTGGTGGTTTGACTGGTTTCTCTCCACTATAGGTATAACCGTATATATGATGCCGGCAAAATAGTACTCCGTAAATGTTTGTTCATTTTTGACGAGTCAGCATGTTGAACATGCTTTCTAATATTCGAAATTGGGTTGGAGATCAAAAATCTATCACACTTTCTAAATTCAATTATGTGGCAAATTTCCGTTCCGTCAAAAGGGTTGGAGATGCTCTAATATGCCAATACATCCAAATGATCCAATGAGTTTCGGAATGACGTGAGATTCACCACAGGTCCACAATGCAAGATCTACACGTCCAACTGTCTAAGGTAGAAATTATTATTCAAAGTCAAGGGAAAGTACAAAATTAGTACAAACACCACTATTTGCCTGCAAAAAGGAGTCTCGGGATATTAGATATTTAATTGTCGCAAAAGAAAAAGAACATTTTATCTATCTAATACTTTACTTGAAAAAAGGCCTCAGAAACTCGTATGACATGTCCCGCAGATTATAATATGTTTTTCCCTATTTTCCACCACCTTCAGGTGGTTGGGTGGATCCTAAGGAGGAAAACTACCACCTATTTTTTGGTGGTTTAACTTTGTAAATCCTGACAATCCAATTTGATGTAGTGAATGCCTCTTCCAAGTATTCAAGCTTTATGTCCTTGTTCCCAATTTCAACTCCTCTTGCCCGGTCATATCTACACAGCAAAAACGGGATTATCAAAAGTTATAAAGCATTATTCATGTAAAGAGTCACCAAACAAATTTAGTCTTGATAGTTTCCAGTTGTCTCCCCCCATCTACCTATGGTAAGGCAAATTTCTTAAGGAATGCAAGGAAAAGATATGACGACTTTGGAAAACTTTCAAGTAAGAATAAGGAGTTACCCTGTAGGCTTGCCATATTCTGTAGTCAGCTCACCAAAGCGATAATAACAAAGCTTGTACCTAATAACAAAACGAGTAACTATTAGTTCAATGAAACCAAACGTTTTGTTTGTACTGAAGATTCTTTCAAACTCATAATTCCAAAAAGAATTTGCAGACTTGAAATATTCTTCATTTGATCATGCATAGATGACAAAATTACAGCAACACAAGAACAGCAGTAAAGTTTTCCTGATATTGACTAAATCTCAATGGGTCACTTGTACTTTTCAGCAATTACCAAGTTTTTGCTAGAATACTTACATGAGGCAATTCAACATCTTGGGAGAAGCACCTTTGTCTACCCGATACTCTCCATTCACAAGATAATCTGGTTCCTTTATAACTGGAAACACTCCTCCTCCAATTCTTACCATCCATAGAAACCTGAAAACAAATCGCTTCCCGTTTAATGTTTATAAAGCACACAGATATTGCTCGTAAGGTAAGATATGGAGTTGGAGAAAATAAGAAATATTATAGCCTCTCATCTACTTCAACAGTTTCTGTTAGGTAAAAAAAATGCATACTTAGTATTTTAGAATGAAAAAAAACTTGAGCATTTTATTGAGAAAAAATACTCCATAAAACATAGGATGTAAGAAGCAAATAACTAACTTGTTTATATCGTCGGATGAATACCCAGTGAGACCTCCAAAAACAACCAAAACATAATCAACATCCAAAGATCTCATTATTTCATAAGCTTCATCCTCATAAGAAGACATTGCCCGTCCAACTGTAGCAATGTGTGTGTTGTTCCACGTGTTGTTGTCAACAATTACAGTTCTGTTTCCCATTGCAGTGATCTGATAACCATAATCCCACCAAGACATCACCTTGGCATCTTGAGGAGTGTTCTGTCTCAACCAAAAGTATGCTTCACGGTAATCATCAAAGATGATCCTATTTCCATGGGCCCCCCTTGCAGCTAAAACAATCGAGGGTGATGAATATGCCTCTGACGTCACCCATGTGCAATGGATTGCATATCTACTCAACAAATAAACAGCACCAAATAGCAATGCAATTGCACCATTTCTTTGGTATGGCAGAGATTGATCAAGTGAGGCCTGTTGGAAGAATGTAAGAAAAATCCAGATTGTAACTCATACCGGTACAGAAAACTCTTGGAAGCATGCACTGGTTTACACATAAATAGGAATAGGAAAGCAAACGAGCCAGAGCCATTATGTTCTCAGCTAAGTAAGAATTTATAATTTTTTAAAGGCAAAAGTTTTGTATATCATCAATCCTAGTTACATTTTTCTTAATTGTTTATTAAACAAAATTTTAGCATACTCAATTTGAATGTAGCATTCACAGACAATTAGCTTTTTTTGTTTGAATATGATTCTTTATTTGAACAGGACTCTTTTCCAGGACAGAGGGATCTTGGGGAAGAGCAGGGGGATAATACATGGTGAGGGAGCAGGTTTGTTTTGCTCTAAAAGTAGATTGCTCTGAATATCATGCAATGATTCATCTCATTTCCTTGACTTAAGGAAAAGTAAGGGAGAGTTCACTGTCGAGTCGGTGCAAACTATATCATAAAGATGAGACTCGAACTTGACCCTTTATGGCACTGTTGAATAGCGCCTAGCTGCATATAGTCAAATTTTCATCAAGAAACAGATGTATAGAAACACCCAAGATGCAAATGCTTTCTCAGTTTCTTGGTAAGTAAGCTATGAAGTACTAGTATCAAATATGAACTCTCCTCAGTGAGAATTGAATATATAAGGAAGGAAGTGCAATAATACATATGCAAGTGAAAATCTATTTTTATCATATTACATATTGCAGAAAGGTGTGTAAAAATGGAAGTCATGAAGGAGATAATTAAATGAACTCCAGAATTAAAAAAATTAAAATTATAAAGCTGTAGATTTACCTTTGATGAAGCCTTTCCACTAGCTGTTCCTTTTCCAGAACCACCATGGAGAGCAACTTTTGGTTTAGCTCTGATTAGTTGAGTCAAATTTTTAACAGTGGCAGAGACTGCAATTGCACTGATAA